GAAAAAATTTACTTTTTAGCAATTTTAACTGCAATTGACACTACAAAATGAGAATTCAAATAAAGCTTCGACAGATGGTGGAACAACTAAAATTTATATTAATAACCAATTACATATGCTCAGGAATAAAAATATTTGCTTGTGCAGGCTTGCGCGTATTGCTGGAATGCATACAACGATATCATTTAGCATATTGGTAAAACCGGAAAGTAAGTTTTTTTTGTTACACACTGTACATGTAATGGGATTTTAAATGCTACATGAAATATTGAACTTGCTTGTACATGTATTGAATACAGTATCAATTATTAAATTGAATTTATTCTATATAATTTAACAACTCATATATATACATGTATATATATATATATATATATATGCTATATAATATAACAAACTCGTAATGCATGTACATAATAAATTTAACATAATGAAAATTTCAAATATTTTATGCTCCGAAGGGTCCGCTTTATTGAGAGTGTCTGTGGATACAAACAACAATAAAATCAAACTAAAAATGAAAGTAAACTATAATCTAATTTTATGCGCAGATTACAGCCTTATATTTTTCAAATTACATAGAGTCAATATTTAAAGTTACAAGAGATTGCAAGTGCTGACGCGCCAATTAGGTACTAGCAAAAACACACTTAGATAAATTTTGAAACAACAAAGAAAATAGTTATTGATATATTATCCGATTATCCGATCAAATTGTTAATAGCAAAAGTAACAACAGATATTTAAAATTCATTTAAATATGAATGCACCTATTGTTGAAACAAAAGATATTTTTAAAGTTGATAGCATTTGCGTGATAAGATCCCACTTAATTTCACTTTCTTAACCAGTATTATCCAATAATGTGCCGCTGTCAATGTTTATTAAAGGAAAAACGTTATTTCGCGACACAGAACCAAAAGTAATAAAAGTGATCAAAACAACGGTTTTAATGTTGATTTATATAGTAATAGTTCTCTATTTTGTTGATTTGTTAATTCAGTTAATCCTCCAATACAAACAATTTATATGAATTTCGCAACAATTCCCCTTCAACCTCCATGTGAGAAAAATAATTTATTTTTTCTCTCAATGCACTGCATGATTTGAAATATCAACAACAAATTAAAATTACGGCAACTTTCTGTATCAAATGTATATATAGGTGTTGTATTTTCCGCTCCTTTTGAATTCGATGTAACTTGTGAATTTAGTAGTAAGTAATCTATACTTTTTAAAAATTTTTATACTTTTTGAAGATAGTTGCACAAATCTAAAATTTTTTTTATACTTTAAAAGATAATGTAGCAACTGCGATCAATTTACTTCAAAGAACGATCCATTTACGAAAATATTTCTCACAACAGATAATTTTAGCTTCACTGATACTAATATTAATAACGCAGAGTATATTGAATTTAAATTTTTTCTAACTAATACTTCGAAAAATTCCCTTAGATTATTTTCGAGTCTGAAAGCAACCTTGCTTGCCCATGGTAAGTTTGAACGCTTGGATACAACTTGAATGCTCTGTATCGATATAACAACTATCTACAATGGATGTATTAGATTCGCCAAATTCTCCTCAAAATTTTTTAATGATAGCAAATACGATGTTACTCCTTTGTATGAAGAAGTGACAAATAATTATTGCACTCTTTATAATATTCTAAATTTACTTAACTTTTTATAGATAAATAAATACGCTTCAAAACAATCGATTCTAAAAATCTTCAGAATACTGTAAAAAATGTTTTTGGTATTCCCAAAACTAATTTACAGAATCTTACTACCATCGAAACAACATTTCGTAAGTTCATTATAGAAATATCATATTACGATGTAATTTGATTCATGTTTTAAATACAGTTATATTTTTAGAAACATCAAATTTTCCATCTACGAATTTATCAAATCTAACGACATCATCAAGTCCATTTTATACATATATGAGGTTATCAGTGTGGAATTATAGCAAAGAAATTATAGGAGAAAAAAAATAATTTTTATAATTTTATTTAGCAAATTATTAAAATGCATTGTTTCTTTTAAAAATATTCTATTTCTTTTTTGGTCATATTAAAGGAACATGGGGGTAAGTTTTCAATGTTTGTATACTTTTTTTTATAATAATAAAAAAAGATTAAACTCTTTTTAAAAATAGATACTAAGCGTTTTCAGTGCTTTCGCGGTGCTTTTAGCCTTTCTTTTACTATTTATCACTGTATTTTTGGTATGTTGAATTCAAGTTTATTCAATTAAGTCATAAACACGACACGTTTCCTAAAAATATTGAAATAAATAGGGAGTGATCGAATAGAACCATGGGGATTCTGCCACAAGTGTATCATCAGAGATCCGATTGAAAAAAGACTACGTAAAAAATTTAAGCCAAAACTACTGCTTCTCAGTGACAATGACAAAAATACGCCAGTCACTTTGCCAGAACTTCAAAAACAATTAAAGAATTTGGAATTATTCTTACGTGAATATGTTATTGATAATTCGTATCAGGATACAACTGCAACTCAAGAAACAGTTTGATTTGATAAAGTTTCTTTACAATAACTTATTGATATAATATACATGTATATGCATGTATATATACACACATGTACCTGTATATCAATATGATATTTACATGTAATTTATTTAAACTAATGATAAAATATATTACGAGCATTTCTTATTAACCCTAGTTAATAATAAGTTGAATACTCTGATATATACGACCTGAATTTTTTTGTAATGACAAAACTATGCTTATCATTATTTAAGCTTTTAGATACTATTACAGTATACTTTGCCACCAAAAGCCAATATTTTGCAAGCAAGATTGTCCTTTGAAAAAAATAAATATTCAAGTGATGAACCGTGAGTTTTCAGTAAAAATTCCTGTAAAATGATAATTTTCTTTTCATAGAATTTTATTCTATATTGTGCTTCATAAGACCACGCAAAGTAAGTTTTTATAATGTGGGATGACCAAGAAATTCAGGATTTTATTTTCGAAGCAAAATTTTATTAATAAAGTTGTTAAAAATTAATATATTTCTTTTATAAAAATGTGTAACAGGATATCCAGAATTAGGTTTTTTTTAAAATATAACAACAGCCTATAAGTCATTCAAATTTTATAAATTATATTAATAATATATCTCATAAAATTATATAAAAATTGAGAATTATATTTTTTAAAATTAAAGAAATGTAAATATTATTTAAAGTAATTTTAATATTTAATTTTGCAAATGCAATGGCTCTTATAGTATCTAAAAATAATTTACTTATTTAATTTTATAAATATAATAACTTTCAATTTTATTAATAAAACATAATAGCACCCAAAATTTTTTTTTATATTAAAGTTTATAATTTTAATCAATATAAAATTTTCTAAAGATATTCATTCTTCTGATTACTTAGTTAATGCAAAAATTTTTTCTAATTAAAAATAAAATTTATCTAAAATTTTGCAATTTTTAAATAATTAAAATAATATTTTCAGAAAAAATCTTGAAAAATATATAATTTAAAAATCTCATTCAATATAAAACTAAAACTTATTCTTGATAAAATTATTTAAGTTAAAATTATTTTTATTTAATTTTAATAATTTTCAGAATTTTAAACTTTTATATTTTTTAACTATTAATAAAAAATAAAAATAAATAATACATTTTTTAATTTTTATAAATATTTAAATAAAATAATAATTATTTTTAAATATATTTTATATCTAAAACTATATTATATATATATTTATATATATAGTAACCATCAAAAGTAATGTAATACTTAAATTTTTTACTAATTATAATTACTAAAATACATGATTTTTCTTATATATAAAAGCTTTTAATTTTACTAACAAATATTTTTTATTTTTATCTCAAAAAATAACTAAAGTTCTCTAGTTTAACATATATTTTTTTCAGATTTTTCAGATTTCTTACTAGCAACTTCTTCTAATTGCATATAAAGTTAATTAATTTTTATTAATTATTAATTAGTAAAAATTAATTGACTTTATATACAATTAGAAGAAATTACCAGTAAAAAATCCAAAAAATCTGAAAAAATATATGTTAAACTAGAAAACTTTAGTTATTTTTTAAGATAAAAATAAAAAATATTTGTTAGTAAAATTAAAATTAATAAAAAATTTAAGTATTACATTACTTTTAATGATCACTGTAAATGTATAGTTTATAATAATTTTATATAAATTATAATTTTATTATATTATTATCATAGTAACATAAATTTCTTTAATTTTAGTGGAATAGTTACATTTGGATGATGA